TGGGGAGGAGGGTCCATGCACAGGCTGGGAGGCAGCTCTTTTCTTCCCCCTGAAAAGGAGCTGTAAGTCAGGGAAGCAGAAGGAAACATTCCTTCTGTGCCGGCAGCTCTTGTCCAGGGAGACGGAGCTGGAGGGAGGAAAGTCTTCACACACTTCCACACCAGTCTATTTTTAGGAGAGAAAGCTATTCAAGAGGGAAGTATTGATTTTCCTCCTTTCCACCTTGAATGTTCTGTTTATCATTTCCTTCAGTTTGTGTGTAATGCACCATGCACAAAGCTATTCTTGCTTCTCCCCTCGTGCCCCAACCAGCCGGGGATGTGCGGCCTTTGCTGAAAACATTTTTTGTTTGGCGCCTGAAGTCTTTGCGTGCCCAGAAACTCATGTTTTAAATCTAATCCTGCTCCTTGGGAGCCAGAGTGTGTCTGTGTAAAACTTCACCGCTGTCAGCTGAGAGAGGAGAGTGGTGACATGCAGGTGCAGAATCTCTCCTGCCTTCCCTGGGCTGACAAGGGCCAAATTCTCTGACAGTTCTTGTTTTACAGCAGCTGGATGGAGCATGGGGGTGGTTGTTGGTTGGTTTTGATTTTGTGCTTCTTTTTGTTTGTGAGGTTTTTTTAGTTTTTTTAATTTTTTTTTAATTGTGGGGTTTGTTTGCTTGTTTTGCGCTTCTTTTTGTTGGTTTTTTTTGTGGTTTGTTTTTGTTTTTTGGGTTTCTTTGTTTTTTTTTTTCCTGGTAGTGTCTGTTTATAGGCAAAAACCTGTGTCTCAAATAGTATTAAAAAGCAACTGTGCTTTTTTTAATGATTTTTTTTCTGGGGGCTGTGATGCTGGTGAGTATTCTTTGCCCAGTCTTACACAGGAGTAGTGAACATCACAGGTTTTGGGCACAGCACAGGTTCTCCTTGTGAGCCAGGGAAAGCCAGAGGAGCAGCTTGGCCACCCAGTGGTGCAGAAGCAGCTCAGCCTCTGGCCCTGGCAGTGATCAGATGGGAGCTGACCTGAGGGAGGGGGGATAACCTGGTCTGCAGGGACCTCGGTGCCATTAGTGATGCCTGGCAGGGTCACACGGTGTCACACAGTGTCACACAGGGCTGTGGCAGTGTTTCCTGTGCAGCAGGCACACACAGCACTCTGGCCAGGGGGAGGGCTCTGTTCTGGACCCTCCTAGGCCAGCTTGTCCCCAGCTGTGCCGTGACCCTGGTGCAGCAGCGGTGTGTGTCTGGCACTTGGGGCTGGCCCTGTGAGTGCAGCTCATCTCCTCAAAACCCAGCCAGATATCACAGGCTTATGAGACAAGATGGCCACACTGTTGGGGTTTCTTTTTCTGTTTCCTTTTTATAAATTTTCTTTCTCCCAGAATTTTGTTCTTTGTGCATGCACAGCCAGTGTGGTGAGAGCACAGAGTGCAACAGGAGGTTTAACCCTGGTCCTTGGGCTCAGCTGTTTCCCTGGCTGTATCTCCAAGAACATCTTTAGAAGCTGTGTGGAAAATAGGTGAGTTACTGTTCTGTCCTCATGTCTCACCAGAACTGGCTGACCTTCAAAACCTTTGCTGCAGAGACGCTCAGTTGTGCCAGGAGAGTCTTCTGGTGCAGCTCAGAGCCACGTTTGTCAAGAACAAGCTCAGTTTTCTTCTCCCTGCCTGGGAGGACGGGGATGTGCTGACCCTCAGGGCAGGAGCAGATCATACCTGGTGGGCTGGGGTGGCCTGGGCAGGGACCAGCCCTGCCTCATCTTGGAGCTGCACAGTGTGAGGCTGTGCCACCAGAGACACAAGAGGTGCAATCATGGAACCACAGCATGGTTTGGGATGGTAGGACCTGTAAAGGCCATCTAATCCAACCCCCTGCCATGGGCAGGGCCAGCTCCCAGTGTCCCAGGAGCTCCCAGCCCCAATGTCCAGCCTGGCCTTGGGCACTGCCAGGGATCCAGGGGCAGCCCCAGCTGCTCTGGACACCCTGTGCCAGGGCCTGCCCACCCTCATTTGTGCTGTTTTTTGCCTATATGTAGTCTCAGTCTGCTGCTTTTACTTTAAACTCATCATCCCTTGTCCTGTCATTACAGGCACTGCTAAAAATCTGTCCCCATCTTTCATGTAAGTTCCCTTTAGGTGCTGGAGGGGGCTCTAAGGTCTCCCCAGAGCCCTCTCTCCTCCAGGCTGAACAATTCCAGCTCTGCCAGCTTTCCTTGTAGCAGAGGTGTTCCAGACCTTTGGTTATGTTTGTGGTCTGGCTTCCACAGCTCCACATCCTTCCTGTGCTGGGTGTCAGGTGCGGAGGCAGCTCTGCAGGTGGGGTCTCACCTGAGCAGGGCAGAGGAACAGAATCCCCCTCCCCTGCTGCCCACGCTGGGGGCCAGGCCAGCACAAGGGGGTTTCTGGGTCCCAGCACACATGGCCAGGGCAGGGTGAGTTCTCAAGCACCAGCACCCACAGAACTCCTTCTCCCAGGGCTGCTCCTGATCTGTCCCTCCCTCAGCAGAGCCCATCACTGCTGATGGGCATCCATTACAAGAAGTACTTACAAAGATGCTTCCAAGAGCCCCTGTGGGTGAAGTGGACAGCATCCAGGGTTTCACAGCAGCTTATGGCAACATCTGCTCAGGCGTTTCCCTGTCAGCAGGTACAGGAGAGCTGCTGCTCCCCTCTGCTGCTCCTGCGGCCACGCTCTGCCGGGAGCTAACACCTTCAAACAAACATCAAGTACCAAAAGTACCAGAAAAGCTTTTGCCCATCAAAAACTTTCTATTTGATGAATGAACACTTTCCATGAAAGACTGAAGTACTCTCCTTGACAGTGGGTTTGGTTTTTCCTTGCTGGTCAGGTCTGTGCTGTGCATGCCCTGACACCACTGCCAGGTGGCTGCATGCTCTGGTATGAGCACTGACCTTCAGGCTGGCATTGCTCCTGAACACCCAGAGCCACCCAGCTGGGTTTCAGCACAGATACTGAGGTGTTGGTCTCCAGAAGGGTGATGAGGCCATGAAAATCCCTGTGGAGTCGCAGTTCCCTCTGCCTGAGCTGCAGGATCTCTGTGTATCAGGATCCCAGCTCAGTGGTGTGGGGCTTGGCTCAGAAACAGCTGCAGAAGGGCAGCTGGGAGCTGTGGGACATCCCAGGACGGGGAGAGGTGACAGCTGTGTGTGCCAGGTGAGTGATCCTGGTGACCCTGTCCTGCTCAGCATGCTCAGTGTGCCCCGAGGATGCTGTGGGGAATGGGGCTGCTCCTGCTGCTGTACATTGTTTCAGGGAAATACCTGCCAAGCTATCTCCTCTAGGACACCTGTTGTTTGGCCCAAACACTCCAGGTTCCTGAAAGGACAGCATGTTTTCTTTCCTTAGCATTCCATCTGGGGGTTTTAAATATTTGTGTTCATTGTTCAGACTTTTTCCTCCTTGTCCTACAGGTTAAGAGACTTTCTCTGGAAATTCTGTTTTGTGAAGGCCAGATAGAAAAGTCTGTCCTTTCTGCAGAGCAGCGAGGGGTCAGGGGTGAGGGGTGGAGCTGCAGATGGAGCTGCTGAGGCAGCACCTGAGGAGGGCTGAGCAGGCACATCAGCAGCTGCAGGCACCCCAGCACAGGAGCCCCTGCAGGCACCACGGTCCCCGTGGCTCAGAGGGAGCGTTGGCGTGTTTGGGGCAGAGTGGGAGAGCCAGAGCTCTTTTGAGCGGAGAGGTGAGGCAGAGGCAGAGGGCAGCTGCAGCTGCTGCCACATGAGTGTTACAGGTGGTGGAACAAGGGCTGAGGGGACACACCAGCAGGAGCTGTGTCTGCTCAGGCTGCTTGGAGAGATCCTGCGTCTGTGTTCTGGGCTGCAGCGCTGCTGGGTGTCTGCTCCTCCCGTGGTCACCTCCTGGTCACCCCTGAGAAGGGGTCAGATCTCCTATCAGCTCTAATTTCTGGAAGCACCACTGGATCACCAGGTCCCCATTTGTGGTTCAGAGGAGCCTCTCAGGAGCCTGCAGCCACGCTGGAGGAGCAAGCTGAATGTGTTGTGTGAGGATGAGAGTTCCTAGTGCCAGAGCTGCTGAAGGGCTGAATTTCATCCATATTCTGCCCTGAGCTGAACAGGCAGGGAGCACAACAGGCAGGAGTGGCTTCCTGTGAGGAGCTCACCAGCAATTGCGAGTCCTGCCCTCCCTTCTTGGCTAGAAAATGTGAGCTGGGGGGAGTGCTGCTGCCTGGAAAGGTGCTGAGGGAAACAGGTCCAGGTTTTGTTGAGACTCAGTTTTCCGTGCCTCATTTCTGTGAGTTTCCAGCCATCTCTGCTGTTCACAGGGTAACTTACTGGTATTTCTGTTACAGCACCACCTCTGCCATGGAGCAGCAGCCCGCTGTCCCAGTATGACAGAGCAGGTCCCTGAGGCACAGAACTCCCAGTCCCAGCAGAAGACACGAGGGAGGAGGTCAGGACGTACAGAACTCCTAGGCTGGTCAGAAGGCACACTGTGAAAGGTGGATATAACAGTTTTGGGTTTGAAATACAAAGAGCTGATATTCTTCACCACTGGTGGCAGATGCAGGAATAATTTGTTTCATTTTTTGTTAGGTTCTGTCGCAGCCCACGGTTCTTCCCAGGGTTAGAGCTCAGAGTATTGGCAGAGGAGCATGGCTGCAGTGCCTTGCAAGGCACACTGTTAGGGTGTGCAATTACCATTGCAATTACCACCACCTCCGAAAGAAGCCCATGGATCCATGAAATCCATGGAAAAGGAATGCAGAGGTCCCTGCCATGGAAGGGTAGCACAGCATGACCATGACACGGATGAGCAAAAGCACCGAGCAGAGGAGGCTGGGTGGGCAGGGGGTTCCAGGAGTGTCACCCTCAGGTGTCACCCCCTGTTGGAGCTCTGGTCTGCACAAGGTGCCAGCAGATCTCCTTGTATTGAAAATGGGTTGTTGCAAATTGTGCAAATTGGTAACTCTGAAAGCTGTCCAGAAGAATTCCTCAGTCAGTGTCATTCTGTCTTCCTGTGATTTCTGTCACTTCCAGGTAAATGGGAGATTTGGAGACTAGCTTAATCCATACACGAAAAACATGTAGAATAGAGCAAATGGTAGCAAAATGGCTTCATCGCTCTCGGGACAGCGCACCCAGGTAAGTGTGGTGTTTGTGGAAGGAACAGCTACGGTCACCTTTGATCAGAGACACCTCGAGGCTGCTCCCAGTGAACAGGGGCTGCAGATCTTACTCATTCTTTCTGCTGCTCTTGGGAAACATGCACACAGAAAAAGAAAAGCAACAGTGTTTTTAAGCAATCCCCTTGGCTTCCAGGGACAGGTGTTCCTGCCTTGCTCTGCTGTGCCTTGGTGAGGAAGAAATACGGCATTGCTCCATGTGAAACTTGCACTTCTTGAAGTTGGGGTCATGCTTCTCCTTGTGGGCCCACATTTTTGGGCAAGACTAGGTAGCATTTACCAGGGATCCACAGCTGCTTTCCTTCCCTGAGGTCTGAGAGTCGACGTTAGGGTGGACATAGAGTGGACATCCGTAAGGTGGAGCGGATCCCAGCAGATGCCGAGAGCTGTGCGTTCTCTCGCTGCCTCCTGGCTGCAGGTGCTGCTGTTCCCTGGGGATGGAGGTCATGGCTTGTGGTGGGGCACACCTGGGCCTCTCCTTCCATGTGACCACTGGGCTGGGATGACTGGAAGTTGTGGTCACAGCCAGGCTGATGTCCTCAGCTTCCTGCAGAGCCCAGGGAGTCGCTGCCGGCTGCAGAGCCGGGCGCAGGAGGCAGCGCCGCAGCCCCTCGAGAGCGGGGAGCCGTGCGGATCCGGGCCCTTGGACAGACTGTCTCCGGTTGTATCGTGTTTAATCCTCTCTCTGATCTGCAGGGACAGCGTGCCTGTGATGGACAGTGCAGGGGACAGCGCAGCCCAGCCCCCCAGCCGGGTCAAAGTGACCGTCACCGTCTACAAGGACCTGGTCCTGCAGCACTACGGCTTCGAGATCTGCCCAGGCCTTCCCCTGACCATTGCATCGGTCACTGCAGGTGTGTCCTCCCCGGAGGGAGCCCAGCATGGTGGCAGGTGGTGTTAGGGATAAGCTCCTGGCGGGGTTGGTGGGTTCTGAGGTGGGTTTGGTGTGTGAGCCTCGAGCACGGCAGCAGAAGCCCCGGTGCCTGTGGCACACAGAGCGCTGGGACGTGCCCCAGGTCCCACAGGCTGGAGCCAAGGCCAGATCCACAAGGGTCCTTCACCTGTGCTGGCTCACTGCTGACCTTCCTGAATCACAGAGCTGCTCAAAGCAAAGCCTCTTCTGGTGTTTTATCTGAAAGAGGAAGAATTTAATCTTATCTTAGAGAGCTTCATCTTATTCCGCTGTGGCTATGGTGATCTGCTGCTGAACAGACCCTATAACACAGAGAGGTTTGCTGCTGGGTGCAGGCAGTGCTGAAATCAAGCAGATCAACTCCTCTGATCTCTTCTAGCTATAGGAGGGAAGGGTGTAACTCAAAAGCTCTGATTCTGTTTCTTATTTATATTTTATTTTTTTAATGGGTGCACAAAACCACGTGGTTTTTACCTGTGGATGTGAGTGTGGCAGCCCTGTTTGGAGATGGCTGGGGCTCTGGGCCCAGGGCATGTACCTTCTGTCACCTCCCACTTCCCTTTATACCCTTTTCCATGTGAAACACAGTGAAATTATCTGAGAGTTGTGGGGTGTAAGAGGTGGGGTTTTCTCTGCTGTGCTTCTCTTTCCTCCTAATCAGAAAAGATTAACATTTAACCAAAGCTGGGGCACAAAAACCCCTCTCCTTCTGACCCAGTGCTTTGCTGATGGGAGCCCACGGGTACGTGGCCCATGTTTGGCTCCCAGTGGAGTGTGTGGTGGGCTGTGACAAGGGGACAGGCGTATACTGGAGGGTTTTCCATGGGCCAGAGGGAAGCTCGGGTGGGGGCAAGGACACAGGCAGGGACACACCAGGTGGTGTCAGCACCCAGGGTCCTTCAGCCCCTTTTATTTTGCCATCCAGACGTGGTTGTTGAGGGAGGCGGGTGCTGGGAGGGAGGAGGAGCTGCCACTGGGAGTCTCTGGACATCCCTAGCGCAGGTGTGGCACTTGGGGACATCAGTGGTGTGCCTGGGAGTGTGGGATTAATGGATGGACTTCATCACCTGGGAGGGCTCTTCCATCTGCAAGCTGCTGTGGGGCCGTGTGGGGGGCTCACGCTGTGCTGGCCCCGCAGGGAGCACGGCCGAGGGGAAGCTGCAGCCGGGTGACCAGCTCCTCACCATCAACTCCAGCAGCGTGGACAGCGTGTCCGTGGAGCGGGCAGCCAGCATCATCAGGTGTGCGCTGTCCCCGTGCCCGGCCGGCCGGAGGGGCGGGGGCCCTGGCTGACCGCCTGTGTCCATTGCAGGGAGGCCGGAGATGAGCTGCTCCTGACCGTCCTGCGCTGCGCGTCCGTAAGTGGCCCTTCCCCGGCTCGCACGGCTCCCTTGGGCACGGCCACGGCGTGGCCAGGCTGGCTGTGAGCGCTGGCCACGGCCGTGTGGGTGCCCCGAGCATCCTCTGCCGCCCCTCACACCCCTGGAGCGGGCTTGGGAAGAGTGGGCAGTGACTCCTCAGCCCTGGCGCGGGGCCAGGCTGGCCTGTGGCATGGGCTGCAGGGAGAGACTCTGCTCCCTGCACCCTGCTGCGCTCTGGAAGCTCTGGATGTGCCTGGGGGCTCCTCCCAAATCCCATCCTCGGTCCCTAGGATGTGTCCTCAGGGCGGGATGGGGCTGTGGCTGGCCAGGGGCACTTCTGACAGGTGACGGATTGGCTCTGCTGGGAGCTCTGTAGGAGGACACTGAGGGATTCACTACTGTTCCTGGGGTCCATCATACTTTACAGGCTGTTTGTGCACAGGGACTTGGCATTTGTGCAGAGTTCCTGAGCACACGTGGCGTCTTGTGAGCCCGACAGGACCCTGCCAGGGTGAGAGCAGGGCTGTGTGACACCAGTGCCGCGTGGCCAGCTTGCCTTTGTCACCTTTGCAGTTTTCTGGTTTGCAGAACTCGGGGAAGCCCAGCAGGGCCGGGAAGAGCTGCACAGCTGGGCAGGCAGGATCTGTCCGTCCCTGCCAGGCTCTCCCTGTGTCGGGTTCAGCACAGCCCCACTGCAGCCCGGCTGTTGTGTGGGGTGCCCAGATGTTGTGTGGGGTGCCAGGTGTTGTGTGGGTGCCCAGATGTTGTGTGGGTGCCCAGCTGTTGTGTGGGGTGTGGGGGAACAGCTGGACGCTGCAGCTGGTTCCCGTGCAGGTGTGTGCACAGGGTGGGGTGTGTGACACACAGGGGACAGCCTGTGGCACTGGCCACACGCGCTGGCAGCCAGGGCTGGGCTCAGCAGCTGCCCGGGCAGAGCTGGCGGTGGAGAGGCTCCCCAAAACACCTCGGCATGTGGGGCGAGGCGAGCAGGGGCGGTGGGCTGTGCCCCTGCCCTCGCTGGGACTCCGCTGCTCCCGCGGCTGCTGCCCCGAACAAACCCGGCTGTCGTTTCAGGGTGGCCCCAAGTCCTCGTTCCTGACCGCAGAGAAGAGGGCCAGGCTGAAAACAAACCCGGTCAAAGTGCGCTTTGCGGAGGAGGTGCTGCTGAACGGACACTCCCAGGTGAGGGCAGCGGGCCGGGAGGGACCAGGGGATGCGGGGCTCTCCCGGGGGTCTCCCGGGGCTCTCCCGGGGCTCTCCCGTGGCTGGGGCAGGGTGGCTGGGGCTCTCCGTGCCGCTCTGCCCTGCCCATGCTGATCCGGGCAGGGAGGGAGCGCTGGCCTCTCTGCCGGGCTTTGTCTTTGATGTGTTTACCGGGACTGATGTGAAGCACCCACACGCACTGCTTCTGTCCAGTTCCCCCGTCAGACCTGAAACCATTCCTTCACCACTGCAGGGGGCACTTTTCATCTCCTGAGGCGCTAATCCATCCCTGGTGAGCCACAGTGAGGTGTGGGCACGACCAGGTTTATGTGCTGCCGGAGTCACCGGGCTGTCCTCTCCTGGGGACAGGGCACACCACCCTCAGAGGGCTTGTCACTGGTCCCTTTGCCTTGCTGTTAGGTGTGGCGGTGTTCTCAAAGCTGACAGGGTGGCAGCTCGTTCCCACATCCCTGCGGAGGGTTTCCACAGCTGTAGCTGAGCTGTGTGAGGTGAGCTGGGTCACAGCTTGCTGGAGGCTGCTGCAAACCCATCATCGGGCTCCTGGTGCTGCTGGCAGCTGAGCTGAGAGCACTCCTGTTCTCCCCAAGGTGTGAACAGCTCCTGAACATCTCCTTTTCCTTCTGGGTTACTTTCTGAGCTCACTGGGGTCAACTGGGGTCAGCTGGGAGTCATTAGCTCTGTCAACCTTTCTTTCTGTCCTTCAGAATGAAAAAACTCTGTGGTCGAAATGCCCCTCTCTGGCCCCCTGCTCATCGGTGCTGTTCAGTTGTCCAGGTCTGGACCAAGCCTTTCTGCTTTGCACCAATGACAAACCACCCACTGTGCCCTTTTCCTTGTCCCTCCCTCTCTGTCCCCTGTTCCCTGTTGCTGGTGGAGCTCTCCTGATGCAGCTGAGAGCCCTCCCAGGGCAGGTGTTTGCTCTCTTTCCCTTGCACACGGGCAGAGGTGCATCCAGAGGTGCCAGGGGTGTCACCTGCCCGCAGGGCGGTCATGGTGTGATTGTGCGGGGGGACCCCTCTCCTCCTGCTCCCTGCAGGGCAGGGGAGGGCCAGCTGTGCCTCCAGATGTTTGCCAGTGTCTCTCTGGACCCTGGGATCCTTCCCTTCCTGACACACTGCTGCAGGACGTGTCCCTGCCCTCCCAGGGCTGTGTTCACAGGTGACACGGCGCTGGTGACACGGCTGTCTGGGATCCTGCCTGGGCAGGGGGCAGCGGGGCCCTCCCTGGGGCAGCATCCAGGCACCAGATCCCTCCTGCGGATGTGACACCCAGGCCACCAGGCAGGGAATGGGGAAGGGGAGGAATGCCCAGGAAGTGGCCCCAGGCAGAGATGATTGAGAGCTTTGGGCAGGACTGGCCATGGGTCACAGGCAGACCCGAAATCACCAGCAGACCCTGCTTTTCTCGCAGCTGGGGTTGGCTCAAGCGTCTGCCTGGAGGTTCCAGGAGCTGGAGCTGGGCACTGGTGGCACAGCCCGTGAGGTCTCAGCTCTGCCAGTCGCTGGCTGATCTCAGGGATGGTCTCCTGACCCTGGAAAAGGACCTGTTTTGAAAGTCTAAAGAAGGCAGCCGCGGAGGGAATGCTGCACTCTGTGCGTCCCTAAAGCCTCTGTCAGCGCTGTGCTGAGCTAATCCTGCCTCTGCGGGTGCAGAGGAGGGACACAATCACTGTTTAGATTGCTTTTAATTTAATGACAGCATAAAGGTAGGAGAAATTAATTCAGGTGCTGGTGTTAGATTCCCTTTTCACCATCTGGACATGTAACCTGTTTTGAACGGTGAACTATTAGCACAAAGGAAGAATAAATTTGTTGCATATTTATTTCTTTCTGGAGAAGCAATATGCACTACAGCAGCCCTGAGTGCTTTAGGGCTGCTCTCCTTTCCACGGGCTGACGTACGAAGGCAGCCAAAATGGGCATTATGGTCCTGAAAACTGTACAGCCTCCAGTTTCAGTAAATACACCGCTCTTGTCATGCTAATGGAGCACGGCTAAGTGATCCTTGTGGCGACGGGAAGGATCCCAGCGGCTGCGTTCTGCAGCTGAAACCCGACACTGCAGGTCGGGAACATGAATTGTTAATGAGCCTCGCTGCTGTCCTGCCTCCGCTTTCTGCAGACTGGTGATGTATTTCCACATCACGGAGCAATCTGCAGGGGCCGGGTCCCCGGGGACCCCGGGGCCAGCGCCGGGCAGGGTAATTAGCAGCTGTGAGCTGGGCTGAACCAGCCCTACCCCGACAGGACAGGAAGGGCACGGCCGGGGAGGCTTTCAGGGTTAATTCATTGTAGCTTCTGACAGCCTTCACAGAGAGAGAGAGAAACCTCTCCGGGTGTTCTGGCTGGATAATTGTATCTGAGCAGGAGAGCGCTGGTAATTTGTGCAGATGTTAAGTCTGGCTGCGCCAGCCTCCTCACCAGGTAACTGCGGCCACGGGAGACACGGCACAGCTGGTGTACAACAGCATCACTGTCCTGGAGCTGGTGGAGGACCCAGCACCTGTCAAATGTGTTTGGGCTAGTTAAAGAGCGCTAGGAAAAGGAGCAGCAGCATTCTTTTGCTTTTCCGTGGCGATTGAAAGCAGCTTGAACCCCACAAAATGGGTGTGAGAGGAGCAAGGACAGGATTCAGAAGTGGTTTTTTTTAGCTCTGGCAGCACTTCCAGGGTGTGTGGGCTCTCTGTCTAGGGGGACCAAGGCTGTGAGATTTGTGGCTCGAGGCACAGTAAATGAAACACAGGAGAGATCATCTTAACACCGTTCTTAACCCTGAGACTCTCTTGAGGAGTAGATGAAGCCTTTAGGTGGTGTGCTGGTCCCAGGACATGGAAAAGACATGCTGAATTGGACCTCCAGGAGCAGAGGAGTAAACCTGCTCAGTGCTGAGCAACCAGGGCAGCAGTGGTGGGACTGGGAAGGAAGGTGCAGGCATCCTCTGCTGAAGGGCTGAGGTGGAGGCTGAAAGGTGACCAGGCTGCCCCAGGAGGACAGAAGCCAAGTCACCAGACTCTCCTTGAAGCACCCAACAGAGATGCTCTTGCTGAGGGTGTCCTTGTCTTGTCCCAGGTGTTGGGGCCTATCTCAGGACTCTTTGGTGGCGTCACCTCCTGCTCAGGAGGTGCCAGGGTTACACAGCTCAGGGCAAGGCCCAGGGCAGCAGCGCTGTGTGTTTGACACAGAGTGTGCAGCTGTGGGCAGCACCTGGGGTGGGGCTGCGGCTGCTGCTGGGGCTGGTGTCAGAGTGGGGGTCCCTGGTGATGGGTGAGGGGAAGATCCTTTTCTGGAGGCACTGCTGGGTTTTGGTGATGAGCAGGGAGGATGACTTTCTGCTTTCAGTGCCGGCCGGATCCTGCTGTGCCGCTGGGAAGGGAACGGTGCTCCCAGGCCACGTGCAGCCGCTGCACTGCCCGGAGTGTTACGGTAAAGGCATTTGTTGTGCTCTCTTTCTGTCATTCTGTGCCAGAAGCATAATCAGGAGTAAAGCTTGGTGCCATGGAAGAGGGTTGCCAAGGTAGAGGAGGATTTTCCTGGATGCCAGGACTTGCAGTGCCAGGCAGAGCAGCTGGTGCCCGCAGGCTGGATGCCCGAGGGTCCAGCTGCTGCTTCTGTTCTGCAGGGGAGCTCACTCCTGTTCATGCCCAACGTTCTCAAGGTGTACCTGGAGAACGGACAGACAAAGGCATTCAAGTTTGAGAGGAGCACCACTGTGAAGGTAAGGATGCTCACAGGCTGTCCCCACCACCCCAGTCCAGCCCATTGGCACAGCTGTGGGCACAGCCCCTGCAGCCTCCCGGGGCATTGTCCAGCTGCTGGCACTGCTGGGTTTTCCTAGAGTGTTCCACTGCCTCGTTTCTGCACTGGTGAGGATGTTCCCCTCTGGAGACATGAGCACTGATTAACCCCCTCAGGTGAAGGAGCAGCGCCCTTTCCCAGGAGGGAGTGATCCTCCTGGAGGAAGAGTGATCCTCCCTCGGTGCTTGGGGCACCACAGACAGACAGGTTGCCATCATCCCCTGAAAACATGATGCTGCTCTGCAGAGCCACTGACCCAGCCCTTCCCATACCTGCTGTGCTTGCACATAGCCTTACACACCTCCAGGTTTCCTGGCCTGATCGTTGCAGCTGCTCAGAGTTTACGTTTGACTTAGTAAGATCTGGCCGTGGCCAGGGGCTGGAGGCCATAAATTACATAAGGGACAGGTGGTGTCCTGCACCAGTGCAGAATCAGTGGGAGAGATTCATGATGGACAGACACCCCAGGGCTGTCAGGCTGAAAGTGTGTTTAGGGGAAACACAAGGAGATTTCATTTATCATGCAGTGAAAACTTCCCTCAGGAAAAGGAGGAGTTTGTCTAGCTCATTCAAGCTCCACAAAGTCATTGTGGTCTCTCAGACAAGTAAGTGTCTGTAAGTCTTTTGGCTTGCAGGGTCTAGAAAAAGAAAATAGTGAGGAAAGGAAAGGAAAGGAAAGGAAAGGAAAGGAAAGGAAAGGAAAGGAAAGGAAAGGAAAGGAAAGGAAAGGAAAGGAAAGGAAAGGAAAGGAAAGGAAAGGAAAAGGGAAAGGAAAGGAAAGGAAAGGAGAAGGGAAAGGAAAGGAAAGGAGAAGGGAAAGGAGAAGGAAAGGAGAAGGGAAAGGAAAGGAAAGGAGAAGGGAAAGGAAAGGAAAGGAGAAGGGAAAGGAGAAGGAAAATTGTAAAGAGATATTTGAATGCCTATCCCCAAGGGTTTAATGTCTAAAGGATGGATTAGCTCTTTGACTTGAGTTTCTCAGCTCTGACATGGAATAAGATTTCCCAGTTTTTAAGGGCAGCCCTCACAAGTACCCTGGAGAAACACCTAAATGAGTAAAATGCTTCCCAAGTTAGATCCTTTCAGAAGTTCCTCTGGATCTTGAGACATACTGCCTTAAAACTGAGTTGGGTCAAATAATTATGCTTGCCTCAAGAGGCTTGAGTGAGTCCAAGGGCTTCTGTTTCAATTTGTGCTCAGTCAAGCCTGAGGTGATTTTTTTTTTGGCAAAAGTACACCTTGTTACTTCCATAATAGTTAGAATATTGACAGAATTCTCTATTACAAAGTGAAACACTGGTGTCAGGCAGAGTTGGTAAGATTTTTACAGTTATGGTCTCAAATTCTTGTTTATTGGAGAGAAGTGTTTTTCACCAGTTCTTTTTAGTTTCTTCACAAATCACAGAGTCACAGACTGATTTGGGTTGGAAGGGACCTTAGAGACCATCCAGTTCCAACCTCCTACCATGGGCAGGGACACCTCCCACTTGCTTCAAGTCCTGTCCAGCCTGGCCTTGGATGCTTCCAGGGATCCCAAGTGTTGCAGAGTTGTAGAAAGCTGGAATAACAAAGACAGCAAACACGTAGGTCCAGTGTGACAGAAAGTGCCCAACACCACCCAGCTGAACACTGTAAAAGTTCGAGTGAGGCAGCTCCAGGAAGTGGATTTGATACCTGAGGCACCTTGGAATGTGTCCAGAGCTGCAGCTCGGCCGCCCTGTGCTCCTGGGATGTGGGATCCCATGGGATGTGCTGGGATGTGCTCTGTCTGTGGTGGCACACAGTGACACCCCTGTGCAGTGTGGGCAGCACTGGTGCCACCCCCAGCTCTGTGTGTCCCTGTGCCCTGCCAGGACATCGTGCTGACGCTGCAGGAGAAGCTGTCCATCCGCAGCATCGCCCACTTTGCGCTGGTGCTGGAGGAGCAGTACAACCTGGCCAAGATCCACCTGCTGCACGAGGAGGAGCTCATTGCACAGGTGAGCAGAGCCCCCGTGTGTCCCACAGCCCCCAGGAGCAGAGGCCAGCGAGGGGCAGAGGGACCAAGTGCTGCAGGGGTGAGCTCAGCTGGGCCCCAGCGATGCCAGCCACTTCTGCACCCACATCCCTGGGGAAGGGGCACCTCGGGAGCATCCTGAGTGCCCACACACACCGAGCAGCGCCCATGGGCTGGTGCTGCCTGGGCCGTGGGGAGCAACATCCTCTGTGCCACCTGTCACATCAGCAGAGCACTGCTTGAGCCCCAAAACAGCTTTAAGGTGCATGACCTGGCTGCTCTCTGTTCCCTCAGCAGTCAGAGCCATCCCCCAGGCAGGGGCCACTGGGGTTAAATTCTGAGTCAGTGCCTTGTGTCCTGTAAACGTGAGGTGAGCTCAGGTGCTCCTGCCGCTCCAGCAGTGCTGCTGGTTTGTCAGAAGTGCTGCTCAGGTGCTCAGCTCCCAGCTGATGGGTTTGTTGTTGGCAGTCCACTGCAGAGGGGTCCGTGGAATCATAGGGAATGTCCTGAATGGGAATCACACAGGAGGATCATTGAGTTCAACTCCCGCAGTGGCTGGTGCTGTCAGAACATTGAACTCGTGGCTCAGAGGATTTCCACTGGGCAGGATTTGCCCAGAATAAAATATGCTGATGTATAACTCAGAGTCCTGACATTGTATTGACATTACAGTGATGATTCAGGGGTCTGTTTGGGGCTGCTGTGTCTTGTGACTGTGCTCCAAAGTAGAGCAGCCTGCCCCTTCCCCTGCTGTTATTACACAGCCCCAAAGCCTCTGTCCTGGTCACACTGCAAGTGTCTGGGATCAGTGGCATTTAAATGAAGTGTTGCTGTCAAAGGGCTTCTGGGCTGCTGCAGGGAGAAGGAAACAACAGATGAAGAATCAGAGATAAAATTACAAACACTAGCAAAATCTCCTTGTGTTTGTTAGGGACAATCTGCACCATCCCTTTGCCAGTGGTGTTAAAGCAGAGCACAGGCTCATCGTGCACTCGGGGAGGGAGGGCTTGTGGTGTGACAACCCTCTCTCTGTTGCAGGTGGTCCAGAAAAGAGACTCTCATGACTACCGCTGCCTCTTCCGAGTGTGCTTCATCCCCAAGGACCCCTTGGAACTCCTGCAGGAAGACCCAGTGGCCTTTGAATATCTGTACCTGCAGGTGACACTGGGGCATTCCGTGCTTGGGAATCCCTTCTCATCCTGTTCTCATTTTTGCTTTAAACCAGAGTGTGCCTCACACTGGCTCAGCTGTACGGATGGGAAATGCAGAGCTCTTAAAATCAGAGCTTTTCAATTCAATTTGCCTTAAATCCTTATGTCATCCTGCATGCTTGGCTGGTGATATCCCTGATTGGATGCGTGGTGTCATGTTGTCAGGCTTGTTGTGTGCCCTGACTGTGCCGTGTTTGCCCCAGAGCTGCAGCGATGTGCTCCAGGAGAGGTTTGCTGTGGAAATGAAGTGCAGCGTGGCGTTACGTCTGGCTGCTCTGCACATACAGGAGAGGATCTACGCCTGTGCTCACCCACACAAGGTGTCCCTGAAGTACATCGAGTAAGTGCCCACATTTCTGTGCTCTGGCCTGACTAAGCCCAGCAAAAGTAGGAGGCACCTAGGAGTGGCATCAGCTCTCTGTTTGCCCTGTGTTCAGCTGTGCACAGGAGTCCAAGGGGAATTGCAGCCTCGTGGTTGTGCTGCCCATTTTAGGGCAGCGTGGCCTCATGGGCCTCCCTGTCCTTCACCCACTGAACCTCCTGAGCAGTAGAGACTGAACACCTGGCTGTGTCCCGAGGCAGAGTCTTGTCTGTCACAGGGACAGTGACTTGAGGCTGCAGATCTCTCACACAGTGAACGTTTCCCCATGCTGCCCCTGCCAGATTTTAGTGCCTGCACGGAGAGGGTGTAGTCATCAGCCTTGTCACCCACCAGAAGCATGTCAGAAATCCCTGCTTTGGGCAGTGATAGATCCTGTGAAGTATTTGGGTCTGTGGGGAAATGACCAAAACATGCTTTCAGAAGGAGCAGGTGTGCCATGCTGCATGTTGGTGCTCTTGGACTGCACCTGCCCTGGAGAAGCCTCTGCTCTAGGCAGCGGTGACGAGCTCGTTGTTAATTAGCAGGCACTGGTGTGGTGACCAGGTTAATTAGCAGGCAGTGGCTGCCTTGTGTGCAGCCAGATGTGCCCAGCTGTGTGCAGGGAGTGGGGGCAAGGGGCAGCTACTCTCCTCTCACCTCACGGGTGTTTAATGCTTGGGCTGAGTAAACTCTCCAGCATCACATATGGCCCACGTTTTGGGTCCAGGAAAGTGAACCTGCTGCAATGTCATAATCTTGTCACCAAAGCAAGGAGCATGCAAGGACAGAATCTCCATCCTCTGGATGGTGAGGGAGATTGGGATTGTCTTGCTAATGAAGGCTGTGAATTACCTCCTGTGGAACCATGTGAAAATGTCATCCTGCACCGGAGTGCACATTGTCCAGTCCCGCTCCTGACCCAGTGGCAGGTGCAGGTAGCAGTGAATTTGAGCCAGTGAGGCCACTGGGTGTGCCACAGCCCCCCAAGGGTGCCTGGTGCCTCTGCCCTGTCCCATGCTGCTGGGGGTCAGCAAGGCTGGGACCTGCTGTGCTCCCTTCCCTCTTTCTTCCAGGAGGGACTGGGGAATCGAAAACTTCATCTCACCCACTTTGCTTCGAAACATGAGAGGGAAAGACATCAAGAAAGCCATCAGCTACCACCTGAAGCGGAACCAGGTGCTGCTGGACCCTCGGCAGAAGGTAGTGTGTGAGCCCTGGGTCACAGTGTCCCTGGGGTGGTGGCAGTGTCCTCCCCCCTGGGTCTCCTCCTTGTGTCACCTGGGGCTTGTCTCACGCTCTGTGTTCCCTGATCTCCCTGCGCTGTGTCCCGCTGCCCTTTGCTGTGGGGTGCAGACGCTCTGTGGGCCATGGGGGATGGTGCCTGGACACCTCTGTGTCCAGACTGAGCTGGGTGTGTTGGTCAGACCCTCTGCACGATGTCCCTGTCCTGCAGCACCTGTTCTAAACCGTGTTTCCTCTCTTGCCAAACCAAGCACACGCTCACGGCAGCCCAGGTGCGCCTGAGCTACCTGCAGATCCTGGGAGAGCTGAAGATGTACAGTGGGAAGATCTTCAATGCCACCATGATGGTATGAGCTGTTTATTTGTGTAATTGCTTTTGGCATGCAGTCCTACTGGCCACACTGCTTCTCCCTGTCCGGGGATATCAGGGACAGATGTTGGGAAGGGGCTCTGCTGGAGAATCTCAGCATAATTCCACGGAAGTGTCCACAGCACAGACCAGCCTCCAGAATAGTTATGCATGGTTTTTGCAATTGAAAGCTGTGACTCTTGCTCTTCAGATAAACCCTGTCTATATTTTGTGTATTACAAACTACTTGAGAAATCTGGGGAGGCTTCAAACTCTTGAAAAAATACTGGAAACACTTAAACCCCACTGTAAAAAAGATCTCTTTTTACAAGAGGTTTCTTGGGTTGTTGATCTTTCTGCCTGTCCCCACCTGGGTCTGTGTCACAAGCTGTGTCACACAGGGAGCTGAGCAATGTTGGTGGGGCTGAAGCAGAGCAAGACCTCACCCATGGGTCACAGTACTGCTAAACACAGCATGCAGATTGAACTATGAACATGCTGCACCTACATGCAATTTGAACAGTTTCTGCCAGATTTTATGAGCGTTAATTAATTTCTCGTTAAGTGTCTCACCCTAACAGAAAGGATTGGCGTTTCTTCCAACCCCAGAAATGTCTTTGTGAAGTTTCTACCCTGCAGCTGCAGCAGGGGTATGGGGACACCCTGGGCTGCCAGGGGACACTGCTGCCAGCCACGTCTCTGGGTCTGCCAGGTGGCTGCTGCATCCCTGGGGCCACGGGAAGCTGCTGGTCCCTGTGCAGGGGAGGGAGCTGGGCACAGGCTCCTGTGGCAGCAGAGAGTCAGTGCTGAGATCCCAGATGAGGTCAGGGGGCCGAGGGGTCCCTGCCCAGGCTTTATCAGCAGTTTATCCTCTGCAGCTGCAGGACAGGGAGTCGTACGTGGCTCTGCTGGTGGGTGCCAAGCACGGTGTGAGCCAGATCATCAACAGCAAGCTCAACATCATCACCAGCCTGGCCGAGTTCCCCAGCATCAGCAGGGTGGAGCTCAGCGAGGAGTCCGAGCGAGTGAGCACTGTCAAGATTTACCTGCAGGACCTGAAGGTGAGTGGCTGTGGGGGACAGAAGCACAGGGGAGTCAGCTGCACCATCAGCTCTTCTCAAAGGCTGGGGTGCCACCAGGATAAAAGGCTTAGAACAGACTTGGGAGGGAAAGCTCGTAGGAAGAACCAAAAAAATTTCCTAGAGAGAAGTGATTCTCCCTGCTGAGGAAAAGCGATTCTTCCTCCATCAGTGAGACACACCAAAGGCACAGAAGGCTAGAAAAATAAATTACTCTTCTTTCTCTGTGCCTCCTGCAAATGAGACTGAGGGAAGTATGAGACAGAGGGGGTGCTTTGTCCTTGTGCAGCCTGTTCCTGCAGACTGTGGTACCAACAACATTTGTTTATTCTAATCTTTCTTACCCTTTTCTCCCCCACACCTCCAAATAATGAAACAAACCAAAAAAAGCTGCTCACTCTGCTGCTGGAATCAAACAGTGCGAAGGATCTCGTCTGCCTCATCGTTGGTTACTACAGACTCTTCGTGGATGCAAACGCCTCCATATTTACCTGGGGAGAGAAAAAACAGCAACTGCACCGTGTCTCAGCTGAAGAAGGTTCAGGAAAGCCTTTTTTTTGACAAAGGAGGGGGAGGAAGCGGGTGGATGCCCCAGCTCCTGGGTGCAGCAAAGTGTGGGAGCAGCAGCCCCGGGGCCGAGTAGTGGCACCTGCAGATGGTTAAGGCTGGACTTGATGATCTCAGGGGGCTTTTCCAACATTCCTGTGGTAGCTGCAGGCTTGTGCGAGCCGCAGAGCGAGGCTTGGGGCGAGGGGTGAGCTGGCAGCTCCAGGGTGCTGCTCTGAGCTGGAAACAGCCCACAGGCGCAGTCGCACTTTCCCTTGCTGGCTGGTGCGCTGGGTTAGGGGTAGGGCCGTGCCCTGGGGCCCGCGGGGGAGGTCTGGCTGACCCCCTCCCCACCCACAGCACGGGCTGACAAGTTCCTTTAAATCCCAGGCTACGAATCCCGAGCCTGCAGCGACTCTGAAGATTCCTGGGATTCGCGCTCGGAGCGCCGCACGGACAGCGCTGCGGCGGGCCGGGGAGAGCCCCGCGGTGCCGGCGGGAGCGGCGCAGAGCCCCGGGCTGGCGGCGGGGACCCGCCGGGGACAGGCGGTGACAACGCCACCGACAGCGCCTCCGAGGCGTCCGACTCGGCCAACACCGAGAGCCGGGGCTTCAAGACGAGCGGCTCCAGCGACTCGATGGATGCGCTGGAGGAAGAGGAGCTGGAAGCGTGCTCTTCCTCCCGGCCAGAGCCGTTCCGCTTTTACGCTCCGACCGTGCAGGAGATGAGCAGCTCCGAGCGGAGCTTCGTGCCGGTGTGTGCCGCGGGGAGCCCCGGCGCTGCCGGAGCCGGAGACTATTTCTGCTTCGTGCAGGTGCCGCCGGGGCCCGGGGGCAGCCCCTCGGGGCCGGGCTCCGCTCGGCAGCCCGGGCTGGCCCGGGCGGACACCTCGGGCTGTCCCGCGGGGCACGGCACAGGCGACAGCGACCTCGTCCTGCGGCCGCCCCCGGGCTTCGGTGACTCCAGCTCCGAGGAGGAGTTCTACGATGCTGCGGACAGGCTCAGCCCTCCGGAGGCGCTGGCAGGTAAAGCCTCACCTGCGTGCTGCGGGTCCTCCCTCCCGCTGCCGGGCTGGGATGCTGCCCCTGCTCCCAGCCGGCTCCCGGCCACTTCCAGCCCTTAGCAGCCTCTCCAGGCCCTCTGAGGGACATCCGAACACCCATTCTCCACAGGCCACTCCTCAGCACCCTCACAGTGAGGTTGCAGGAGGATTTGTAACCACGTGCAAACACTGCGTGCTGGGAAAAGTCAGTTTTCAGAGGAGTGGCAGTCTGGAATCTCAGCTCTTTTCCTCTCAGCTAAGGAGACCCCAACGCCGTAAAACATTGTTACATGAACCCCCAAGATCGAAGGTCATGTTCAGGTCAGAACCTGAATTGTTAAAGAGCTGGGTGAAGGATTCCCAGGGCTGGGCAGCTCCCTGACCATTGATTTTCTCAGACATGAGAAGACTCTTGTTTCTGAAGTAATCAGCTCTTTCAGTATTAACTGAACCTCCTAAGAATTTGATTCATGCCATTAGAACCGTTTTGGCTTTTACAGCAATGCACAGTCACTGTACTGTGTTCAGGCAAAAAACATCCTCTCTGGAAGCTGTTATCACCTAAATATCCAGCTGGCAACCTCTGACCGTGTTTCTATTTGGTGATGAATCTGTGGGCAGTGTTCTTGTGGTGCTGCTGCTGTCCCCACATTTGACTGGGGAATTACAGCCACACCTGCCTGCAGGTGAAGTGACTCCAGAGCCCTCATCACTAATCCTGGGCTCCAGCCCGTGTAGCCACACACCCAGGCTCTGCCTTTTTCTTGACATCCAACCCCAAGTAGGTACTTGATCATGAGAGACCATTTCCTTTTGCTCTTGGGAACCCAGCTTAGGAACCTGCTGGGCATTTGTGCCTGTGACTCCAAGTCCTGTGCCAGGAGCTTTTTGGCACACTGTGTCGGCATGTGGGTATTCTGCTGTCTGGGATTACTTCCTGATTTCCATGTTTTTCCTGCCATCAGGCTATGATGCAGCATCCTGGGAGGGTGCAGAGAACCCCTCCTGCATCCCAAAGAGGCTGAGGTGCTACAGCTTGGGGGAGAGCCCTTCAGTGAGGGAGAAGCACGGGCAGGAGAAGGAGCTGACCTGCACCAAGAGCCTGAGGAAGAGAAGGTCTTTCCTGAAAACTGATTACACCTCACAGGTCAGTTTCCCTGCGGCTCTCCCAGGCTCTCCACAGCGCTGCTGCTCCTGGCCGCCCACTCAGCCCACAGAGGACACAGGGAAGAACACGGAGATGGGGCTTCTTGTGGCCACCCAGGCCCAGAGGGACACCGCTGGCACAAACCCCTCCTCTGATGTGATGGACATGGAGCCCGACACCATGGAGGCAAAGTCAGTGATGGAATGTCTGGTTTCCTCCATTTCGGATGCTCACCGTGCTGGTGACCAGTGTGGGGAGGAGGACAGCAGCCTCCAGCCACAAAAACCCCCCTTGCTGTCCCCAGAGCCCCTTCCCAGAGGTCAGAGTGGAGCTGCCCAGGAAAGCTCCCCAGCGGAGACAGATCCTGGGTGTCTGAGTGAGGAGAGCCGTGTGCCCACTGGAGGCTGGCAGACCCAGGGAGCGCAGGAGGAGGGGGGTGAGGTGGTGGCCACCCAGCACAAGGCCAGTGTTGTGCCCTCTGCTGTTGTCTGCCCCTCTGACGAGCTCCTGCTGCTGCCATCAGCCCCTGGCCCCAGCATGGCCCCTCCTCAGGAGCTGGCCCAGGACCGGGGGCTGCCCCCTGTGAGCGTGGAGCCTTCCCTGGCTCCCTGTCAGGAGAGCAAAGCTGATGGTCTGAGCTGTGTCATTGGCAAGGGCTGTGCCGATGGTCAGGGCAGGGGTGATGGTCAGGGCAGGGGTGATGGTCAGGGCTGTGGCTGCAGCAGCACTGAGGGGGCTGTGTCCCAGCCCAGGAGCCAGCAGGTGGTGGATGGGGAGATCCTGTGGAAGGTGCAGGAAGGCCACATGGGGTTCCCAGATGCAGCCCAGCTCCTGGCAGATGGCAGCAGTGCCTCGGGGGTCCTCAGCCACCTCTCCTGGCTCTCATTCGGGGTGAGAACAGACCCTGTGTCACACAGCCTGCTGCAAGACAGGGTGGATGACCCACTTGAGCCTTTGGCCTGTCTGATGACCAGCACGTGCATGGGGGCTGGTGCTGTTGGAAGGAAGATGCCAACATCCCCTGCTGGAGCAGGCTTTGTCCAGGAGCTGGTGAGCAGCTCAGGGCTGGGTGCAGGGCAGCCCACAGGAGATGCAGGAAATGTGGCTCAGCAGGAGCCACAGCCTGCACAGGCTTCTCTTCCCAGAGAACAGGCTGCAGGGCTGGGAAAGGACTCTTGCCTGGCTCCATCTGCAGAGCTTTCCATCTCCTCGGTTCCAGTTTCCTTGGGGAAAGGAGCAGGAGACAATGGGGCTGCAAAACACTCCCTCCTCTGTCTTAACTCTGAGGAGGGTGAGCAGACCCCTGCAGCCCCCAGCCCAGGTGGGCCCTTGGGCTGTTCCCCAGCACCGCATGGGCTGGACAGCTGTGGCTGCCAGCTGCCCTACATCAGCTGCTTCCCCCAGCCCCACAACCAGGGGGAGCGTGAAACCAGCCCCCCCCAGTTTCCAGGGCCCCTCACCACCCCTCCTTCCAGCAGCTGCAGCCTTCCCAGGACCCCTGGGAGCGCCCTCCCAGTCTCCACTGCTGGGGATGCGGCAGGGCAGGACCCCCACATCCAAGTGCTGGGGCAGCTGAAGGACCAGGCATGGATGAGCCCTGTGGATTTCTCCCGCTTCCTGGCCTACACTGTGGAGCTCCAGCAGGTTGTAGGGAAGCTCTGCGGAAACCAGGCAACTCACCTGCACGACCAATGTGCAGAGCAGGGTGTGGAGAGCCAGGGTGCCCTGGGCTGGGCTTCCCAGGACCTGCTGTCCAGCTGCCAGGCACTCCTGAGCACAGAGCAGCCTCTCACAGAGGTGCAGTGTGCACTGAGAGCAACGTTTGACCGCCTGGTTCACCTGGCAGTGACCTGCTTCCAGGTGACACACTGCAGGCGCTGCAGGCAGAGACAGCAGGAGCTGGGAGCTGCCCTGGGGGATGTGGTGGGCACCTACCAGCAGCTGCTGCACGCTCTGCACCAGCAGCTCCATGGGCAGGTCTGCCCTGAGCTGGGCACCAAGCTCCTTGCCCGCCAGCACACGGCCCTAGCAGCTGCCATCTTCTGTCTCCTGCAGCAGTTCAGGGCATCCCCGTGGCTGTGACAGCCAGGGTGCGGGCACACAAGGGCACTGAGGGGGACAGAGCCCAGATGTGTGTCCCCTGTCCGCCTCAGGCTCTCCCCCAGGCAATGTTTGGCCCAGGATGGCCGCGGGAGGATGTGCCCAAACCTGCTGGCTGGGCTCCCCAAATGCAGCCATGCCCCAGGTGCTCTTGGAGCACTTCACAACCATAGCCTGTGTCTTACCCAGGGCTCGTGCCTTGCCTCCCACGGGCTGTGAAGATGGTCAGTCTCAGCTTCTTTGTCACCCATGGGGAAGAGTGCCTCTTTCAGCCTGCCTTTCGCTCACTCATCTCCCCAGGCTGGCTCTGGACTGAAGGAACATCAAACCCCACCCTGTCTGGATGTGAAGGCCCCCAGGTGGCTTTCTCCACCCTCTGTGGCCAAGGGACCACCGTGATCCCATCTTCAGTTGCTTTTCCTTAGCCAGAGAGGGTGGCCCCAGCGGGGGCGGCAGCAGAGCCGCTCCTGCCGCTCGGTGCAGTTCCTGTGTCGGCAGCTGCTCTGCTGGCCAGCGACAGCTCCTGCGAGCTCCCACCCCACCATCGGAGCGGCTCCCGGCTCTGTGTCTGCCAGAAGAGAGGGCCAGCCCCTCTGATGCTGCGGTCAGAGCTGTGCAGGGACCATCACGGGCTCCCCCAGCCCTGCTCCCCTCCCAGCAGGTGCAGCTCGCCCTGGCCAGGCGAGAGCTGGAAGGGGGTTTGGCTGTGCATCCCTGCAGGGCAGCACTGCAGCACCCTTGGATGGAGGGGCAGAGGCCAGTCCCTCACTGCTGAGGTCCAGCCTGGGGATATTGAGGGTGGCTGCCTTTCCCCAAGGAACTGCTGCTGCAGCCCAGGGGGTCTGCACTAGGCAGCTGAGGGGCACAGCTGATAGCACAGGTGATAGCACCACCTCTGCCAGGCACCGTGGGCACAGGATTGTCCCCTGGCTCTGGGACACTGAAGGGGATCGTCTCCACGTGCAGCTTGCCAAGAGCCACCAGGCCACAGCAATAGGCACTGGCCAACAGTGACACTCGGAGCCCCTGTCGTGGCTTAACCTCAGGGCAAGCCCCTGGCTTGGGTTAAACCACAACAGCCCCCAGCTGCTCCTGCAGAGCCACCGTCACACGCACTGGGACACAGGCCCCAGGGCTGTGAAAGGGCCTTGCTGTGAGAGAGGAATGAAAACACATAACCAAACTTACCTCAGGTGACCTTCAGGTCCTGCTGCCACTGGCCATGAGGTTTTAGGGCGCTTTTGGCAGCAGTGGCTGAGGTAATGTATGGACTCAGCTGCACCAAACACACTTTCTGCTGTGGCTGTGGCACGTGGCACTGCTCTGTGCAGGGCTCAGCCAAGCCCAGCTACCTCCCAGCAGGGACATAGGGGTCAGGTGTGACAAGGTACCACTTATCAGTAACTGTAGGGACACAATGGGGATCTAAACCTTTCATTTTATATTAGATGTGTACAACTAGCCAAAGGCTTCAACTCACCTAGTCTTCACTGCATTTAAGCTGTTGGGACAGAGTGTCCTTGGGAGCAGCTCCCCATCCCGCATCCTCCTGCAGGAACAGCACTGTCCTGTCCCATCGTAGGGGGTTTTCCTTGCTCATATGCTTTGCAATCCTAACTTCACCTTACTCTCTGTTTCAATAAAATGAGAAAAACACCTTAAAGCTCTCCTCCCCATCCCAGCACACATGTAGGTGCAGGAGTCACAAGCAGCTGCAAAGAAGCAAAACTGAATTCCTGTCAGTTTTCACTTGATTCAAGGCTCCACCAGCTTTTCTTTCCTGCTCAGGGGCACAGGGAATGTCTAGTACTGCATTCCTGAGGTAGAAGGTGTTGCTCCAACAAGGTCCTCACACTGCTGGAAACAGCTGTCTCCTGGGCACAGTCACGCTGGTGCTTCCTGCCTATGCAGCTCCTCAGCACAAAATAAAGAGTTTTCTTGGGCAGCAGTGGCGCACTGGGGTGTTTCCACCTGTTCCGCTGTATCCGGTAGCACGTAGCCTTTCCCAGAAGAAACTCCAGCCCGCAGAGCTGCTGGCCAGCTCCGTGTCTCATAGTAGGTGGACAGGACATCAAAGACTGTCAGGAGCAGAGAGATGCTGAGTCACACACGTGCTGTGACAATGGTGCCACACACACCCACTGAACAGGAGGGAGGCGATGGCAGCTGACCCAGAGAAGGTCCCTCACTTAACACCTGATGAGCTGGTGCTTCAGGCAGCTTACCTAGGGGCAAACAGGTATCTTGGAGAGGACTTTAGGGAGCTCTGGGCAAAGCAGTGCCTGTCTCAACTACGGTGAGGCGCCCCCACATTGTTTTGGCTGACATATGACACTTGTCAGTGTCCCCCCTGTAGTGAGCCACACCTGCTGTGCTCCCACTGTCATTCCAAGGCACAGAGACCCCACCCCTTGGGCACACAGAGCCCCCAGCCTCTTCCTCTGCTTTGTGTCCATGGAGGGGACACAATCCTCATGTCAGGGGTAGAAACTATGAGGAGCTGGCGTGGGTCATGAGCCCCTCTGCAGTCACCAATAGAGAGACTGTCCCCTGCCTCGGGCACAGCACCCTGGGGAGCGGGGGATCACACCCAGCCTTTGGATCACACCAGACTCCCGTGTGTCCCTCCAGCCCCCAGGCAGCCCCTCACCCTGGTTGATGGCCAGCGTCTCGGAGTGGTAGTTCCTGGAATTGGGGGCTTTCACCATGTACTCGCGGATGGGGAGCCGGGCTGTCTGCAGGCACTGCTCCCGTGCCCTCCGCAGGGTCAGCTCCTGCAGGGGACACATGGACATGCTGACACACGGCCATGGGTGTGGCTGTGCAAAACCTGCCCAGGGGCTTGTGGCACCCGCACAGCAGCAGCTTCTCCCAGCTCGCTGCTGGGTCCAGGCAGAATCTGAGGGACAAGGGGTGTTGGGAGGCAGCCACAGCACTGGGATGTCTCCACTCATGGGGCAGGCACCACGCACCTTGTGAATGCTCTCATCCACCAGCCCTCCCAGCACGTACACTTTGTCCGGATCGATGTCTTCAAGGACTAGAAATAGGACATGCACTGGCTCACCACCACACAGCAGCCCATCCTGCAGGACAGTGCTCTCCCTGCAGACCCCACTCCCAAGGACAGCAGTGGGTAGAGCCTCCTCACCCCAGGGGCTGTGGCCTGGGGGCACACAGGTGCCACCAGCACAGAACCAGACCCAGATCTGAGCACACAGCATGTCTCATGCAATGTGAGACAGCCCACGTGAGGAACAGCTTGCCTGAAGCATGGAACAACCTCAAAAAGAAAAGTCAGCCTTCTAAAAGTCAGCCTTTTGCCCTGTTTCTACCTTGTCTAAAGCATGTGAAATATTTACCATTCTCAGAGTCAGGAGTGAGATAAACAATGGCCTCCAAAGGAAACAGGTCCAGGTAACTCTCTGGAGTTGTATCCATCTCGAAGACACAAGACAGAGTGAAGCAGCCCATTAGTCTAAGGTACATCCCCCAGAACAAAGGCCCCTCCCAGACACAGAGATATCCCGGGACTGACACTACTGCCGAAGACATACTGACTGCTAAAGGTCTTCTAGACCATACAGACCTCCAGTGACCTAGGGTTTTTCTTTTTCAGTTGGACAATGTTTCTGTTCTGGGCACTGGTCAACACACTTAAAAACTCCACTAAATTCTCTCTCCTCATTAAAAGTTCTTGGGGTGCTTTAAGAAAGGGAGACCATCAACCATTGTCTAGTTTTAAATAAGATACAGAGCACAGGGCTGCGCTCTCCCCCGATCCCGCGGCCAGACCCTCACCAGGTATCCAGCGAAGCCGTCGTTCATGCGGAAGCACTGCTCGTAGATCGGCGTCCCGGCCGCGAACTCCGTCAGGCACAGCCAGAAGGGCCGAGCGGCTCGCCGGTTCGCCCCGTAGAGCCTCCGGATCTGGGAGGCGAGGCGGCCACTCTCCTTGGGGACAGAGCGGGACAGTGACCGCGAGCCTGGGGCTGGCGGTCCCGCCGAGTTCCCGGTGCCCGCAGCAGGGACGGGCACACGGGGGGCGCAGCCTGTCCGGGACCCCGAGCGGCCCCCGAGACCTCCGAGCAGCCCCCGGCACCCCCGCACCTTCTCGGTCATGCTGCCGCCCACGCCGAGATCCACGCACAGCCGCGGCCCCGCCGCCCGCGCCTCCAGCAGCCGCTCCACGGCCAGGGCAGCCGGGACCCTCCCGCGGCGGAGGGAGGGCGGCCCGGGCCCGGCGGGGCCGCTGCCGAGCGCCGCTCTCCGGCCGTCCCCGTCCGCCGCTGCCCGCCGTGCCCGGCGGCGCTGCCGCTCCTGCCGCCGCTTCCCGCGCCGAGCGGCGAGAACCCGCTGCCAGCGCCGCCGCTTCCGCAGCGCGTTCCTCTGCGGGAGGAAAGCGGGCACGGCGCTCAGCGGGGCCCGGCGCGGGGTCCCGCCGCACGCACCGGCACCGAGCGCGGCCCCGCCACACGCACCGAGCACGGCCCCGCCACACGCACCGAGCACGACCCCGCCGCGCCGCCCGCCCTCCCCGCGCTGGGCTCGCCCGCTGCCGAGGGCTCGATCCGCAGCAGCCGCAGCGCCTCGGCCGCCACCGCCGCCTCCGCCTCGCTCGCCGCCGCCTCCGGCCCCGCCGCCACGCCGGCCTCCATCGCGCCGCCGGCGCGGAAGGGGCGGGCCCGGGGCGGCTCCGCCCGTCCCCCCGCGGGGCGGCACCGCCCGGGCCAGCCGGCAGCTCCCCCGTGGGGCGCGGTGCTCCCGGTGCCCGCGCTCCCGCCCAGCAGGCCGGCTCCGGTGCCGCTCCGTGGCGGGGATCTCGGCTGTCAGCGGCAGCAAGCGTTCCGCGCGTTCCCACAGAAGATCCGGCCTGAGGTGGTTTCCCTGTTCGTCGCCGTGCTGAGTCAACAGCTCACACAGCAGATGCCGCACGCCTGGTCAGGCTGGCACCGCTCCCCAGGGCTGCTCCTCCACCGTGCACCGCTTGCTTTGTGTATCCTAATTCTTTTATCGTTATTCTTCCTTTTCTGTCCCTTTATATTGTGTCTATGGAGATAAGCATAAGCAGGTGGAATTTGGATAACTAATGGCATTTGGATAAGAAATGAATCCCAAAAATTACTTCTGATTTGGAAGAAGTGGGAGAATTGCATGACAAGCACAACCTTCTGGAATTGCAGGAAGCCAACTGCCTGATGCCTGGCCAGGTCATGAGCAGCAGCCCCCCGCCCCAGACAGCTCTGACTGCCTGGCAGTCTTCGTCCCACGCTGTATGGCATCACACACAGCATGTAAAACGGGGGAACGTCAAGGGAGGGGATATAAATAAAAGCTGACCCGGCTGTGATCAGCTGTCTTGGCTGCAGCCCCCTGGCCTGCTTGCTGTCAGGGCAGAAGAAGCTGAAAAGCCCTTGGCAGGGTCAGGACACGCAGCAGCAGCAGCCACAACATCCACATGTGATCGGAATTCTCCTCACCCTGAATGCAGAACATGGCCCCACACCCACCGGGAAGAAATGAACCCAAGCCCAGCGCAGAGCAGGATGTCCAGGCAGGTCCAGCACAAACCTGACTGCGCACTGAGGCAAGCAGCACCTCTTGGAAACCCCTTCCAGCCCACAGGATGTCCAGGGCTGTCCTGGAAATCCTGCGCTGTGTGGGGGACCCGGTTCCATGGGGCTGTGTGATTGTGTCTCACCCACAGGCTTAGCTGCAACACTGACTCGTGTTTTGTTTCCTAGGAATGCATCTCTGTTTCCCTGAGGCACTCTCGGGAGTACATTTTACATTCCCCGGAACTACGCTGCCAAGAAACTGTTCTCCAAGCCCAGAGCATTAATGCCACCCTCTGTGCTGGGGGCTGTTGCACTTCTTGTTTCTCCATGAACAAACCGGGCTCCAAGCATGTCCCACCAGCCCAGGGTGAGGCAAAAGTGTAGTCAGTAGTAGACAGGTAGAGAAAATTTTGGGGTAAGACCTCAGGTAACACACAAGGGACAAAGAACATTTTGGAGAAGAACTGAGTTCTTCTGTGGGGGACAGAAGGAGCATTTTGGGGATAAGAGAGAGGTCACAGTGACACTCCCAGCATGAATCAGACCCAAGAGGAGGGGCTGGTCCTGCTCTTCGACTCAAAGCCTGGGACTGTTACGGATCCCATCCTCACTGGCACCTGTTATGTACTTCTAGCACTGGACTGGACTAAGGAGGCCTCTCTGGACTCCTCGTCTTTGCCAGTGAGGTTTTAGTAGTGTCTTCCACATTCTCAGAACATGTGGCTTGAAAAAACATATTGACATTGAATGTGTTTATAAAAATGCCAGTAAGATTACAAAAACTTAAGGAGAAATATCCAAAGACCACTAAAGCAATAGCTTTTGTAAGGAGGAGGGACCCTGACGTTCCCTGAGTAGTTTTGAAAAAACCCTCCTGCTAATTGTCTTTAAGAGGGCAAAGGGTGCAGGGCCGGGGCTGCCGGGGCTGGGCACAGCCCAGGACTGGGGACAGATGCACTGTCCCCAGCGGGGGCTCATTCCCCGGGGCACAGCCGAGGTGAGGCTGGGGTTTAGCCTGGATTTTTGTCCAAGTTTGCACAGAGCGGGAGCTGGGTGGTTTCTACAAAATGCTGCTCGCCGACCATCAAAACAATTTACACATTGTACAAAGGTATCAGCATGAACTGGATATACATTCCATCCCTTTTCTATTAATTAGTACTCAGACCCCTGTTTGCCGCTGTGTCTCAGTTCCCAGGCGGAGCAGCCCAAGGCACAGCTGCTCTCTCCGTCTGGAGCGGGTGCTGGCGATCCCCGGGCCCGGCACCGCCCGGCCCCTCCCGTGTCTCCGCGCAGACAGCAAACCCCCGTTACGAGGGTGTTCCCCTTTCCTCCGAACGGCACAGCAGGCGGGCCCGGCCGCTCCCGGGGGCCGCTCGGTGCCAGTGCCGGTGGCGCGGGCGCTCCCGGGGTGCCGTTCCCGGGGTGCCGGTGCCGTTCCCGGGGTGCCGTTCCCGGGGTGCCGGTGCCGGTGCCGGGGGTGCGGCAGCTCCCGGGCGAACGGCAGCGGGGTCGGCCCTGAGGGAGCCGCGGTCACGTGGGGCGCACGGCACGTGACTTGTGTGGGCGGGGCCTCGAGACGGCGCGCCGGCGGCGGCAGGGGCGGGGCCGCGCAGGCGCAGTGGCGTGGGGCGGCCGGCAGGGGGCGGACGCGGCCGGCGCTGCCGCCGCCATGAGCAAGGGCCCGGGGCCGGGGCCGGGGCTGGACCCAGACCCAGGGCCAGAGCCAGGGCCGGACCCAGGGCCGGACCCGGAGCCCCCCCGCCACAGCGACCCCGCCGACCCGGGGCCCGGCGCCCCCGGCGGGCTGTTCGCGTGGCTGCGCGGGCGCTGCCTGGGCCGCGGGGCCGCCGTGGACCCGGCGCGGGACACGTTCGGCGCCATGACCGGGCTGTACGGTGCCATCCAGCCCGCCGACTCCGTGTCCCTCAGCACCCGCACGCACGGCGCCGTCTTCAACCTGGAGTACTCGCCCGACGGGTAGGTGTGCCCGGGATCCGCGGCCAGGCGTGCCCGGAGCCCTCGGTAACGCCGTGCGGGGCTCCGCGGCTGGGGCTGCCCACGGCCCCCATCCAGGTGTGCCCGGGCATCCCGAGGCGCCAGCTCCGTTCTGGTGGCCAGGCGTCATCGCTGCTTACATCAGCAGCACCCCTGGCCTTCGGTTTAAATACCTGGCGCAGGTACCTGGCGAGAGGAGCCATCCTGTGCTCCTCCCGCCTCACCTGCTGGAGCAGGGACTCTTCCTTTTCAGGGGAGGGGGGCCGGGGGTGACAACCCTGCCAGCGAGTGCTGGGATCCCCCCGGTGCTGCTAAATCTGTATTTTGCAAGGTTTTAGTGAGGGAAAAGAAACACGATTGGATTGCAAAAGGGCAAATAGATACTGCAGGTGGACCTTTGGTTTAGTGCTACTTTTCCTGTTTCAGAACCCCTGGTAGGTGTGGGCAGAGGGACCTGGTGACACAGGGAATCTGTGGCATGACAGGCACCTACTTGAGAGCAAAACCCAACACAAACACGGAGTTTTCTGTTCTGCTCCCTGCAGGTCAGTGCTGACCGTCGCCTGTGAACAGACTGAAGTCCTGCTCTTTGACCCAATTTCTTCAAAGCACATCAAGACTCTCTCTGAGGCTCACGAAGACTGTGTAAATAACATCAGGTAGGTCAGGAGGGACGTTTTGACACAACTCAGCCTATACTTAGGCATTATAGTTTAAATCCTCTGCCACTGTCTGGGGCTAGAGCTGGAAATAGCAAGAGCAGCAATCTAAATCCATCAATATTTTTATCATGTAGTATTTTTCCTTTTAAATTCAGGTGTTCTGAGCTGTTCTGGTTCTGGGAATAGATTTTGAGGTATGAGTTTAAGGTAGCAGTCTAACAATATTGCAGCTGCTTTTCACTCAGCTTCTCAAAGCAAAAACCCACTCCAAAACCCCGAAACAAGAACCAACTACACAGCAACAAAAAACCTCAACCAAGAACTACACCCAAACAAAAAATCCCAAGACATGTAGAACATTCTGAGTGTTTTCACTCAGGAGGGCCAGATATGATGTGGGGTGCCCCATTCATCAGATAAGTTGATGTTTTTCACAAGCTGGTTGTCTTTTTTATAAAAGACTGATGTTTTACATCAGCTGGACGTCTGTCAGGAAAGCTGGATTAAAATGTGTGTCTGTCTGACACAAAGGAACTGAACTCTGTTCTGCACACAGCTTCTACAGTATTGCCTGGAGCCTTGTTCAGGTAATGGGCAGGATTTCAGACACTGTAGCACTGCAGAAGTTCCTTGTAGTGAGCACCAAAAATGCTTACTATTTACCAAAGTCTGGGATTTTCCCCATGATGGTTGTTGTTCATTTTTCAGAGTTGCTGCTCTTGTGTGGTGTAGCTCTGGGCTGAAAGGATTTTTAGTTTGTATTTTTTGGATGGGTGTCTTGTTCCTTTTACCTTAGGTAAGGCCTTTCTTAGTTGAGTGCCTTCATCAAATGGGTTCCAGACATAAACTGGCATGCCTTGTCCTTCTGAGAGTAAAGGCCTGCCTGAATTCCTCCAGTGGTGCTCACCTTTGATCCGCACAGTGCAACCTCAGTGATTTCATCCATTCATTTTCTCACTGAACCAAATAACTTTTGTCAGTGTATTCTCAAGCAAGGTCTCATCTTCGCTTGGTTTTTCTGAAAAGCCTTGCATTTGCTTCAGTGAACTCTGGACTCCATTTATTCAGTTCATTTCCTGGCTGTGCTGCTCCCAGCCCTGCCGAGCTGAGCGCTGTCCGGAGAGGGAACAGACTGAGTTACTGCAGGGGTTCTGTCTGGCCATGTGCTCCACTGGTGGTTTGGCTCCTGTGTGATTTGCACACAATTCATTAACACACAAACCCCCTAAAAAACCACCAAACCAAACCAAACTTCTGCTGTGCCTCTGTGTTTGCTCGTTTGCTGCTACAGAGGCGCTGCTGGTTCATATCCCAGCAGTCCTGCTTTTCACGGAGCTTTCACTGGCACATATTCTGCAGTAAGTTTTGAGATGTTTTTGGGGCTGGTCTCTCATCTCTGAGTTCGTGTGTGCTCCTGCTTCAGCAGAGTTGCTGTGCAGG